AGGTAAGTGAAAAACAGCCAGACACAAAGACCATATATTTTATACTGTAATTCCATTTACATGACATGTCCAGGATAGGCAAATCTAGAAACAGAAAGATTAGTTGTTGCTTTGGACTGCAGTGGCTGAAGTGGGCTGGATGGGAGGATTGGGTGATTATGGTTAAGGGGGGTCTGAGTTTCTTCTTTTGGTTATGGAAATGTTCTAAAATCGATTGTGGTGATAGATGTACAACTCTTTGAATACACAAAAAGCCATAGAATTGTACATTTCAAATGGGTTAATTGCACGCTTTGGGAATTCTACCTCAAACAAAACTAAAGGCCTAAAGAAGGGACTGAATGTATCAGAGGCAGGGATGATTTTATGGACTGGCAGGTTTATCTTTGTAAATACGAGCGCATTGCTGCAGAAGGTCGAAGAAACAGAGAAAGGCCCGCAGAAAAGCCTCTGATGAGCATCCTAACGCCTGCACCCCAAGTCTTAGATGTCCTTTCCCCACCCTCCACGTCTGTCCCGGTCTCCAACCCAGTCTTCTGCGCTCGGCTCCCGGGAGGGCGTCACACTCCCAATATCGGCAGCCTGATGCGGATCTAGGTCTACCGTGCACAGGGGAAGAAACTGGGACTTTCCTGACGCGGCCGCAGACATCGTCTCTCTGCCTGCTGTCATCCTGATGCCACAGCTCCTGAGGCTCCGCCCCCTACGTCCATCGCGGTGCGTACGCCGGAACCGGAAGCGCAAGGCCGTGCGCCGGAGGTCGTCGGGCGTCGCCCAACCACCCATTTCCGAGATAGGTTTTCGCCTCCGAGTGTGTCCAGGCCCAGCCCAGCTAGGGACTTGCGGGAGGGCCTGGTGGGAGGAGGAGCTGGGGGTCACAGGGCGCCGCTCCGGGCTCTGCGCGCAGTCCCCGCCGCTCCGGTGTCCGGGCGCCTCCATCTCTCCGCCGCCTCCTCCAAAGGCCTTTGCCCGCTGCGCCCGCTCCAGTCTGGGTCTTGGCTCAGGGTTCCCGGTGGAGGCGGAGTTTTCTCTCCAGCCACCGTGTGCGCCTCTCTTAAAAAGCAGCCAGTCAACCTTTCTGTCCTTCTTCCAGAAGGAAAAGCATCTCCGCTGTTCTGGAAAAGGCCCCCAGGGTCCTCTTCTCCCCGACCTGGCGATTGCGGTGCATTCCGGTGAGCAGTGGACCGAGATGCTCTGGCTGGGGGCTTCGGTTATTGAAGCCTGAGAAATTGCTCAGGTGTTAAGGGCTTTCTTAGGTTGGCAGGATTTGTAGGTTTATAGAAATAATAACATGTTGCCACAAACTTTTCTACTAAAGGCTAGATAGGGATACTCTGCTGTTGTTGTTTTTTGTTTTGGGGGGGGGGCTTTTTTTTTCGGAGATCAACAGCAGCTGAACTGCCTAAGTCTGTACATCCCCAAAGAGTTTTAAAACAGAGGAGCTTCCAGAAAGTAGGATGCAGCCTTCATTATGCTAGTATCATAAATTAGAGCTGTGTTAACCATGAAAGAGATGTGTTTTGACCAAGTGGGTTTTTTTTGCTCGTTATATTTTTAGACTGAATATTTCTAAACCAAGCAAAATGTGAAAATCTGGAACATTGAACACCTATGTATTCTTGTTGTAGATTGACTTAGATTGACCATTTGTTAATATTTTGCTGTTTTCTGTTTCTCTTCATCTCTCTCCTGGGTGTAAATATTTATGATAAATTGATCTATTCTGGGTATAAATAAATGTCTGTGATAAATAAATAGGAGATGGAAATAAGGTACAGATGTGATATTTGAATTTCAATACTTGGTTACTTGCCTCACGTGTTACACAATAAATCCTACAAATTGATTCCCAAAGTGAAAACCCAATTAGAAAACTTAGCGATAGGTTTGGGTAGGCTCTTCAATAAAGAACATGGCCCAGCGGACAATAAATGTATGAAAAGGTGCTTGATATCAGTAACCAGGGAAATGCAAATTGAAACCACAAAGTGATAGTAGTACACACACAAGCTGAATGGTTAGAAGTAAATCTCAAGTCAGTGACAATACCAAGTGTTGGTTAAAGTGTGCCCACATTGCTGGCAAAAACACATTTTTTTTTTTGAGTCAGAGTCTCACTCTCTTGCCTGGGCTAGAGTGCCGTGATGTCAGCCTAGCTCACAGCAACCTCAAACTCCTGGGCTCAAGCGATCCTCCTGCCTCAGCCTCCCAGGTAGCTGGCACTACAGGCATGTGCCACCATGCCCAGCTAATTTTTTCTATTTTTAATTGTTTGGCCAATTTCTTTCTATTTTTAATAGGGACAGGGTCTCGCTCTTGCTCAGGCTGGTCTCGAACTCCTGAGTTCAAGCAATCCTCCCGCCTCGGCCTCCCAGAGTGCTAGAATTGCAGGCGTGAGCCACCACACCCGGCCTGAAAACACATTTTTTAAACAGTATCAACTGAATATGAAATAGCCCTAAAGTGGAAACAACTCAAATGTGGACCCACACAAGAATGGCTGAATTGTGGCATATTTTTCTCTGTGACACAGGTTTCAGCAAAGGGAAGAACTAAATCATAGGTAGATGAATACAACTGTGTGAGCCTCACAACCATAATGTTGAATGAAAGAAGCCAGACACAAAAGAATGCATACTGTTTGATACTGTTTCTTTAAAATTCAAAAATAGGCAAAATCAACTAGAGTGTTAGGTGTAAGGGTAGTATTGTGGTTGGGAGGCATGTCTGAGATACAGGGTATGGAAATGTTCTATTTCTTGACCTAAATGGTGGTTATATGGGGCAGCTCATTTCTTGATAGTTCATTGAGATTTTTATTCATGATTGCATCCCTCAGTTGTATGTATGCTGTAATTCAGTAAAAGAAGTTCAAGAATTAAGTGTTCTAACTCTGCAATCCCTGACCCCCAGGACTGGTGTTGGTCTGTGGCCTATTGGGAACTGGGCCTCGCATCACAACCTGAGCTCCACGCCACCACCACCCCACCCCCAGTCCGTGGAAAAATTGTCTTCCATGAAACAGGTCCCCTGGTGCCAGAAAGGTTGGGGACTGCTGTTGTACCTCATAACATTGAATGAGAAATATGGAAGTGGAATAAAATGTTTGGAAAGAATGGATAATAATAAAACCAGTACTTAATTGAGAACAGTAGAACTGATCAGTAATGCGAAAAGATGAAAAATATGTTTATATTACAGTCTTTGTAGCCATCTATGAGATAACATGAAACGACTTCAATTTCAGCATAAAAGAAAAACAACATAATTCAGACCTTGCGGACATAGCTGGTATTAGAAATGTATTTTGAGTCTTCTCTAAAACCATCATATTCAAGTTCAAATGTCTTTGGGTCAAAAGTGAGACATTAATTTTTAAAAAAATTGTAGAGATGGGGTCTTGCTGTGTTGCCCAGGCTGGTCTTAAACTCCTGGCCTCATGCAGTCCTCCTGCTTTGGCCTCCCAAGGTGCTGAGATTACAGGCATGAGCCACTGTGTCTGGCCTAACACGAATTTTTTTAAGTGAGTGTGGTATCAATTACTACAGTCCTCTGAAGTTATTTTTCCTATTTTGTCTTTATCTTAACCCTAACCAGTCTTATTTCTGTATCAGAAATACATTTGTGTGTGTGTATGTGTGTGTGTTACTATACTGCTCATCACCAACTAATAAATCAATTGCTTGTTTATTTCCTGTATTGCCCCATTGAAATGTGAGATCCCTAAGAGCTGTCCAATGCCCGGTACCTGGCCTTCCACAGGGAAGGCCAATAATAAATATTTGCTGACTGAATGAAGGCAGGCAAAGATTCCAAGTCCAGCCAAGCTCCAGCAGAGAGTATTCAGGGGGATTTTTTTTTATTGTTAATTTTTTTTTGTTGATTTGCTTAAGGCTTTTTTTTTTTTTTTTTTTCTTTTTCCCGGGCGGGGTTTTGGCTTGATTTTTGTTCCCTTCGGGATTACCACCCCCGGGGGTTCAGGTTTTTGCCCCCTTACCTTTTCCCTTTTGTTCTTGTTTTCCCCTTCTTTACTTGGGGTTTTGGGGCGTTACTAATCCTGTCTGAACCTGTATTCTCTGCTATGTAATGACAGTGTTAATTAAACCTCCCAATTTGGAGGGTTGTTTGGACAATTCAAGGATGTTATGTATGTAGAACGCCTAACAGGTGCTCAGTGAATGGCAAATGTTATTAGTATTCATGCGGTCTAGTATTAGATGGTTTTTAATGGCTGTCACATGCGTATCCTCTGCAGAGAGAGCGCTAATGAATGTTTGTGACTGAGGAGAAACATCTGTTGCTTAATGATTGATCTTGTGAACCAGTTACTCAGACACTGCTACACTAACAGAATTCAAATTTAAATTAACAGGCTTCTCTGGAAGTAACCTTCTGAGCAACAAATGGCATGTTCGGAAACATTTCCCTGTCAGTGTCACAGGATGGCAGCCATGGGTCTGACATACGTGTGTGGTGAGTCCTTCTCGATGCCTCTTTTCAGATCGTCTGCTTTGTGCAGTTCCCTCCCAAATGGCAGATCCACTGCTCAGGAGTTGAGTGATCATGCGCCAGGCTGTGTAAGAGGGATTAAAATGAACCAGAGTGTGGAAAAGTTAGGGTCCTGGGATTTGGGATGCAAGAAAGGGTGTGCTCGTGTGCCTTTGCGGGGATAAAACAGTCATGAATTTTATCATGTCTGGCAAGTCAGCCACTCTGCCTGTCTGTAATTTATGGAACTACAAAATGGAATGATTAACCTCTTCTTCATGGATAGCAAGATCCAGAAAACGCTTTTCTTGCTTCAGGTAACTCAGGGCATATTATGGAAGTAGTGTGTTTGTCATGTATTAGGTGTGTGGCGTGGAATAGCTACTGTTGGTGTTGTGGAAAGATTTGAAATTTCATGCTATTATTCTTTTCCCTAAGGTCCTCTTTCTCAAGACGCTTTCTGTCTTCATGAGAAGAACATCCAAGATGCAGGGATGGTGGCTGGGTTCCTGATGGGTTCTTCTCAGGCAAGTGAAAAGTAGACGCTTCTTCAAAACGTTACGCTTGTTTCCATCAGAGAATCTCATCCCCTTGTCATGTCTTCAAGCTTCTTAAAGCAGTTACGATCCTGCTCATGAAATGAGTCCCCAGGTGGATTTCTCTGGGACCCATGCCATCTCATGTACAGAGATGATGCTGGAAATGATTGTTTTATCTCAATGTTTGTGAGTTCTTTCTGATCCTCTCATGTTTGTTGGTTCATTGTTTTGCTGAGTGTTATGACAGATTATAAGAAGGTGATCTAATCTCAAGGAGTTTGTGTGTCCCTGTGGAAATAATTGTTAGCAGATTTTACAAAGTGCTGTGACATGCTCAGTGCTAACTGCAGCCTATAGAGAGGAGGAATAAGGTGAGAACGGCCTACAGTAAAGTTGTGGCGAGGTAAGTTTAGTCATGTGGCAGTGACGCTGGTAAATCCATGTGACTGGATGGATTTACCAGACATAATCTACAGGCAGAGAGGAGGAGAGGTCTGAGGCCCAGGAGTACTGCAGGCTTCTAGTCTCCCTTAGTCCTTCCTACAGCTTTCCCAGAACATCAGAGAAGATGGTACTTAGCTGAAGCCAGCACGCATTTGATGGTTTAGCACTTAGTGACCTTTGAGGATGTGGCTGTGGACTTTGCTCAGGAAGAGTGGACTTTGTTGGATCCAACTCGAGAGATCTCTACAGAAATGCGATGCTGGAAAACTACAGGAATCTCATTACACTAGGTAAGAGCGGCATTGTTTCTTCCCTGAGCCCTTCAGAAAATGAATGTTCCTTAAATGTTTGCTGACAAGTGGGAATACTGTGATATAAACAAGATGGTCATAGACTCCAGCCAATGAGCATCACTATGTAGAGGATTCCCTGTGAAAATGAAGATCTAAGTAAATGACTTTATTTCCTTTATGGATTAAAAACTTTGAAGTTTTGGCTGGGCGCGGTGGCTCATGCCTGTCATCCTAGCACTCTGGGAGGCCAAGGTGGGAGGATCACTTGAGGCCAGGAGTTTGAGACCAGCCTGAACAAGAGTGAGACCCCGTCTCTACAAAAAAATAGAAAAATTAGCCAGGCGTGGTGGCTATAGTCCCAGCTACTCGGGAGGCTGAGGTTGCAGTGAGCTACACTCTGTCTCAAAAAACAAAACAAGGCCGGGCGCAGTGGCTCACGCCTGTAATCCTAGCTCTCTGGGAGGCCGAGGCGGGCGGATTGTTTGAGCTCAGGAGTTCGAAATCAGCCTGAGCAAGATCGAGACCCTGTCTCTACTAAAAATAGAAAGAAATTAATCGTATAACTAAAAATACATAGAAAAATTAGCCGGGCATGGTGGCGCATGCCTGTAGTCCAGCTACTTGGGAGGCTGAGGCAGAAGGATCGCTTGAGCCCAGGAGTCTGAGGTTGCTGTGAGCTAGGCTAACGCCACGGCACTCACTCTAGCCCGGGCTCAAGCGATCCGCCCGCCTCGGCCTCCCAGAGTGCTAGGATTATAGGCATGAGCCACCGCAGCCCGGCCCACAATGACAATTCTTTGAGGATGAGGCCCCTATTGCTCCTTTTGGCACTACCAGCTTGCACAGGGCATTTGTCCTGCCATCTGTACAGCAGTGGGTAATCTGGAGAGTGCAGATGGTACCTTCCCATTTAAAATGCCGCAGTGTTCTCCTAGTGAAACGCAGCTACTCTTTCTTCCTGAAGTGTTCCCCTGGTTGTTGTAAATGTTTGACCAGATTCCAAAGTTCCGCAACAGTTGATTCTGATAGCTTTTCTGAGTTTGTTAGTTATCTTCTGGTGGGAAAGAGCCCTGGAGCTCCCCACTGTGCCACATTTGGTAATGCCATTCCTGTGCTTTATGATTTTAAACAACTTTATCCTCCAGTTTTTCTCCAAACCTATATTTTTTATTTTATTTTCAGAATTGAATTTGCAAATCAAAACCAAAGGCTCAACACTGCTTCAAGATATTTATACAGAAACATCATTAAATGGAATACAACTGGTAAGATTTCCAAAAGATGAAATCTTCCACAGTAGAACAAGAAAAACAATATCCATGAGAATTACGTGAGGAAAATGGCATTTACCCAGAGAAAGCAGTCTGCAAAGAGATTCTATGAATATCATGAATCTGGAGAGTACTCTAAACTTACTCCAAACCGGTTTCTTCTTAGAGATCTCACAAATAAACATCCACATATATGTGACTCGTATTCAGTTGGGGTATACAATTTAGTCTAAATAATTATCAGACCAATTCTCTAAGAAGCTTTCTGAACATAGAGAACATAGGGAGGCTCCTGGCCTCATAAGCAGATTATTCCATTTAAAATAACCCCCAAACAGGGCAGGAACTGTGTACACATAGTGGAAACGTTAAAATGTTCAAATATGATGTTTCCAATGCATACATGTTGTGATGGGGGAGAAATTCTATTACTATACTGAATATGAGAAAATCTTTAGTCATCATTCATATCTTAATCAACAGGAGAGAAGCAATAACTGCAGAGAAACTCTGTGGCTCTAACCATTGTGGAAAAGTCTTTAGTGAACATCTGTCTCTTATGACTCACATGAGAACTCACATTGGAGAGAAAATTTCTGAGGATAATCAGAGTGGAAAAGCCTTAAGAAAGAACTTAATTGGTAATTTTTATAAGAAAACTCATGTTGAGGAGAAAACTTCTAAGTTTTTTCAACATGGAAAAGCTTTTATCCAGTTTCCAAATTGTACTGGTCAGAAGAAAACTCATACACGGGAGAAACTGTGTGAATGCAAAGATTGTCAGAGAACTTTTCTTAAGCAGTCATCCCTTAAGGTACATAAGAGATCTCACAATAGAGAAAAACACTATGTATGTAAGGAATGCGGGAAAGCCTTCAGTAATTCCTCACACCTTATAGGCCATGTAAGAATTCACAGTGGAGAGAAACCCTATGTTTGTAAAGAATGTGGCAAAGCTTTCACTCAGTCCACAGGACTCAAATTACACATCAGAACTCACACTGGAGAAAGGCTGTATAAATGTAGAGAGTGTGGGAAAGCCTTCACTCATTCCTCGTACCTTACAGATCATACAAGAATTCACAGTGGAAAGAAGCCCTGCATATGTATGGAATGTGGAAAAGCCTTTACTCGATCCACAGGACTTATTTTACACATACGAATTCACAGTGGAGAAAAACCATATGAATGTAAGGAATGTGGAAAAGCTTTTATTCATTCTTCATACCTCACAAAACACGTAAGGATTCACCGTGGAGAGAAGCCGTATTTATGTAAGGAATGCGGGAAAACTTTCCCTCGTTCCTCAGGACTTGTTTTACACATGCGAACACACACTGGAGAAAAACCCTATGAGAGTAAAGAATGCGGGAAAGCCTTCACTCAGTCGTCAGGCCTTAGTACACATTTAAGAACTCACACTGGAGAAAAGGGCTACGAATGTAAGGAATGTGGGAAAGCATTTGCTCGGTCCACAGATCTTAATATGCACATGCGAACTCACACAGGAGAAAAGCCCTGCGAATGAATGTGGGAAAGCCTTCAGATATTCCACGTGCCTTAATGTTCACATGCGAACTCACACTGGCGCAAAACCGTATGAATGTAAGGAATGTGGGAAAAACTTCACTCAGTCTTCAGTACTTGCTAAACATCTAAGAACTAAGGCATGTGAAAAAACCTGAAATTGTCCTCAGACCTTAGTATTTGTATCTGAACTCAACTGGGAAAAAAACTTATGAATGTAAAGAATGTGTGAGAAACCTTCACTCAGTTTTCATTTCTTACATAACAGGTGCGAATTTATCATGGGCAGAAGGCCCATTCATACAAGGAATACGGGAGAACAGTAATTCTTTGTATATTATACAGTATAAAAACTAATATTTGAGGGAAAAAAACTTCTCTAAGACATGTCAGAAAGCCTTTTTTTGTTGTTCCAACATTGTTTATTTTATATAACTAAAATTACTGTAAAAGCCAATTGAAGGTAAGACTGAGATACAAGCTTACAGTACTTCACATGCCTCAATAGGACATCATAACCCACATTTGAGAAAAACCCTCTGTATGTAAAGAATGTGCTCAAACATTTACTTCATGC